GCCCTGAGAACAAGACTTGAGCTGAGATCAGGAGTGGGGCACTCAACCAACTGAGCCACCTGGGTGCCCCACAGCCTCCTTCTCTGGGGCCTCCTTTCCTCACTGGCAAAGGGGCCAAAGTATAGAGGCTGCTTCTTCATTTACTTCAGGTTCACCTGCTTCCACTCTGGGCAGATGCAGCGGGGCAGCAGGGGTTGGAAGCCGGCTTCACGCCCACCTGGCAGCCCTCCCGGGGCGGGGGAGGGGGACCCTGGGCTGGCTGTCCTCCCGTCCAGGGCAGGTGTCCCTGATGGTGTCCGGTGGCCACCCCGCACAGGCCTGGCCCCTTCTCAGCCCCTGGGCTCTTGGCTGCGGGAGCAGAAGGTCCCGCTTTGCGAAGTCTGATCTGACTGTGCGGCACCAAGTAAATACTGAGTGAAGTGAGCCTCTGTCCCCTGCCCTGAACTCCAGCTTCCTCGGGACTCTATGCTGGTAGCTGCCCGCCCTCCCCCTGCAAAAAGCCCCCTCCTTCTCAAGCACCTGCTGAAAAGCTGGCCTCTCGCAGGATAAAGATGTGTCCGCCTACAAAGAACTTAGGAAGCGCAGTGCCGCCCAGAAGAGTCACAACCCGGTAAGAAGAGCTGGAACAATGTTTTCTTAGCTGCTTCATTTTTAATGGCATTTAGTTGGGATATGAAATGGAGCCAACTTTAATATCTGTTCTTATTTAATATTATTTCATAAAAAAATCTGCCCTCTGCATTGAGTAATGGTTTGAATAGTCACTCTCTTCAGAGCGCTTTCTGCTCTCAGAAAAAATAACAGTCAAACCCAGTGCCAGCTTGGTTAGGTGGTTATTTTGCTTCTTTTTTTTTTTTTAATATTTTTATTTATTTCTAGGGGAGAGAGAGAGAGAGAGCGTGAGCAGGGGAGGGTCAGAGAGAGAGGGAGTCACAGACTGAAACAGGCTCCAGGCTCCGAGCTGGCAGTCAGCACAGAGCCCGACGCGGGGCTCGAACCCACGAACCGCGAGATCATGACCTAAGCGAAAGTCAGACGCTTAACCGACTAAGCCACCCAGACGCCCCAGGTGGTTATTTTGCTTCTAATTCTCAGAGGGCGACTGGTGCCCTTGGGAGGAGATGCCAAGCTCTGAGCAAGGCCCTCACCGTGGGGTCCTGCTGGTTGCTGTTCTGTGTGTGCTCTGTCCCACCGGAAGGTGGCTGGCTCCTCCCTGGGGCCTGGGTGACTGCATGGGCCACACGCAAGGCAGGGGCTGTGGCTGGACGCAGGTCTTTGCAGAATGTCTTATGGTCTTCTCAGACCCCGGGATCGATCTTGGGGACCTGTGGGGAACTGCCATCTTTAAGTCGCTTCCCTGGGTGGAGGGGGCTGTCATGAGAGTTCCTCACGGCCTCTCCAGATTCTGAGGAGGGATGAGACCTTCCACCTGCCCCCCTCGGGCACAGCTGTGACACAGCTGCCTTGTGTCCCCTCACTGGTGGCTGCCCACACGAGGACCTTTGGCCGCTCTTCCTCCTGCCGCGCTTGCATGTAGCAAACCATCTGAGCCCGAGGGGACCTCCCTGTTCTGCACCTGCTGAAAGAGCCGTATGGGGCCCTGCCTGTGCGTGAGACCCTCCGCGTCCCGCCAGCTGTGCCTGACCTGCTTGTCCCGATCCAGGCTTCCTAGTGGGAGGAAGGTCGCTTTTAGAACCCGTTAGAAAGGAGGAGGGGCTGGGTGTTGGCGCATGCCAGGCGTGGTGTGTCGCTTCTGTGACTCCTTCCGTGACTCCTTCCTGTGGCGAGAAAGGGACATTGTTGTCCCATGTGAAGAAGGAGAAATGAAGGCCCGGAGGGTAAGCCCCGGGTGCATGTGATCACGGCCTGTGGATGGCAAGCCCGTGACACTGACCATGGTCCCCAGGCTCAGAGTTCCTTTGAGCCACCGAGGGCTCACAGGGCCGTCGAGGTGTTGGCGTCTTTCTTCTGGCTTCCCCCCTGCCTTGCTGGGCGGGCTGTGTACCTGTCAGCGGACAGGACGCTGTGCTGTCTGGAAGACGAGGAGCAGACTCACGCCAAGGTGCGTGTCGGGTCCCACCTGTGGGGCCCAGGCAGCTTTCTGGGGTGGAGAGAAGTTCCAGCCACCACAGGAGCCCAGGATGGGGCCCGGCGGGCAGACAGAGGGCTGGGTGCTCAAGGGGATGGGAAAAATGGCCGAGGACCGGCCAGAGGGCACGTGGTGGCCTGAGGGGCGCCCAGAGCACAGAAGGGCAGCGTGGAGCTGCTGTCCAGCTGAAAGGCCCCCGGGGGCAGCGCAGGGGCGGCGAGTCTGGTGGGGCCACTGCATGGCTGGTCGGCGGCCCGCATGCACCTGGGGAGCCGTCCTAGCTCTGCCCAGGCTGAGGCTCTGGGAGACACCTGCATGACCACAGGGCGGAATGTGGAGGGTGCCGGTGAGACCCAAGGTGTGTCACTCTCCCCTCGGGCCCGGCAGGGACCCCGGCCCGCTCTGTGGTGACCTCTGCACAGCCGTGTGGACACGGGTCCTCCTGTCCCCCGTAGGGCTGGACGGGGACCGTGTGGGGCTGCAGAGCCAGGTGGGCCAAGGGCTTCGAGGTGCCCCGCACGAGCCCTCCCCTGTCCCTACGTGCTTAAACCACAGACCCTTCCCAACCACCCCCAGACTCACAGGATCCAAGTGTAAAGAGGCAGAAGCCGGCTGTCGAGTGTGGGGGGGTGCTTCCTGTCCTGCTCTCGGCCCCACGGTCCGCCCGAACCTGGGGCGCTGTCCCCACAGGCCTTCTCCCCAAGTGCTCTGTCCAAATGGGGTCCAGGAGACACAGCCTCGAAAGGGTTAAGCAACGTCAAGGCAAGAAGGTCTTTAACAGGGATCTGGGAGGTGAGAGCAGGTGATGTGACTTTCGACGGTGGGAACATACAGGCTGGAGGGCCGTCTTTTCATCCAGGAGAACTGCTCGCGCCCTCAGGGAAGATGGGCCTTGGGTCCCTCGCGGTTTAGGGTCTGTGACCTCCTGGGGAGACACGCACTCCCTGCAGCCTCCCTGACCGCCGGGTGCACAGTTCTGCTTTGTCTGCAGGTCTGTGTCGGGGCAAAGCCGCTGTTGGGTCATTGCTCCAAGGAGAGCGTCCGGGAGACCTGGGCGCAGGCCACAAAGCGTCTGCATCTGCCGGCCCCCAGGGCGCCCCTCAAGCGGACGTGAGCGCATCCCAGATCAACGTGGAATGCCTTCAAGAGCACACACACCCCTTACTCTGCGCCTGACCGCGAGGCCCGGGTGTGCGCTGGCTCATCCGGGGATGAGGAGGATGGAGACACTACTCTGAGCAGGACGTTTTCCTTTAGCCTTGAAACTGGACGGATCCGGGCTCGCTCGGTGTGTTCTTCTCCAGGCCACCGTCCATGCACACCCAGGGGCCTGTCAGTTCCGGGGCAGAGGTTGGCGCTGCCGCCAGGGCTTATACCCCTGGGTGGCCACAAATGCTCTGGGCTGATGCGCACTCCCCCGAGTGACAGTCCAGTTAGCCAGAGTGACTCGACAGGACCCCCATAAGGCTGCGTCACCAATGCGTGATTTCAGGTCTAGCAGAAACTCCATGAAACAATTTGACTTCTGAACAGAAGGAGGGTTGAACATGCCAGTGACACCTCGTGCGCTGAGGGAGTGGGGGTGAGCACCGGCGGGGAGGGGCAGGGAGGGGAGGACAGATTCAGGGGACCTTGAGTGAAGGATCAGGAGCCACAGGGGGCCGGGGACCCTGTGAGGAGCCGAAGCCCTCCCGGAGACCCCACCCAGCCTCCAAGAGCTGGACGGGGCAGGCGGCAGCCACCGGGGCCTCATCCCCTCAGTGTGTCCTTAATAGGAGAGGCCCCTGTGCGTGTCTGTGGGGTCTGCGCTGCCGCCCTGCAGGGTTTTTGCCTCTACTGGGGAAGCGGATGGAAGTTTATGCAGACAAGCAATGTCTGCTTCCCCCTTCCTGGCTTATTTCTCTAGCATCTGTTGTAAACACAGCAGAGAAGAGTCTAAACTTGGTATAAATCTGTCCAATGCAAGGAAGCCAATGAAAAACGTGACATCGAAGTTCAGCTCTTTGCAACCGCGCGGCCTGAATCACAGCCAGTCATTAAACTTAATTCTAAGGAAGGACGGTGAAAGCGGAGAGATGCCAGAGGGTCCCCAGGAGAAAGGAAATAGGCGGTGAATTCTTGGTTTTAACTGTTTTATGTCATGAGGATGCTCTGTGTTTTTTTTTTGGCGGATGTTTATGGGCTCGGACTCCACACTGTGGGAGCAGGAGGGCACTGCACAGAAGCCTTGTTCTACCCCTTCACGGGGGACTTTGGGATCAGGGAGCAGAGCTCTGGACCTCCAGGGACAGTGGCAGCCCCCCCCCCCCCCAAACAGGAGCCAGAGCATAGGACTTAGGTACCACCTCTGCCTGGAGGGTTGACCAGCTGTTTTCTTTTTCCCCCCTCTTTTATTATTCAACTTACATAAACAGAAACAAAAAGACAATTCACTCATCTCCCCACCCGCTGACTCTGGCAACAGCAATCTGTTCTCTGTGTCTGTGGCCTTGGTGTGTTCTGTTTTGTGTTTGGATTCTGTATGTAAGAGGCATCATATGGTCCTTGTCTTTCTTATGGCTGAATAATATTCTACTGTGTGTGTGTGTGTGTGTGTGTGTGTGTGTGTTTGTGTTGTGTTGTGAGACATATATTTATATAGATGTATATGTATAGATATATCTTTTATATCTTTCTAATCTCTCTCTATCATCTATCTATCTATCATCTATCTATCTATCATCTATCTATCTATCTGTCTATCTATCTATCTATCATCTATCTTTCTATTACCTGTCTGTCTTCTTTATCCATCCATCAATGGGCACCTGACTTCCTCCTATCTTGGCCGTTGTAAATACTACTGTGGTGAATACGGGGAGGGAGGGGGAGGAGTGATGGTTTTTCGAGTTAGTGTCTTTGTTTTCTTCAGATTGATGCCCAGAAGTAGACTCGCTGGATCACGTGGAGCTCTATGGGTAAGTTCTGGAGGGCCTTCCGCACTGTTCTCCAGAACGGCTGTGCCAGTCTGCATTCCCACCATCAGTGCACAAAGGCTCCCCTTCCTCCACACCCTCACCAACACCTGTTGTTTCCTGTTAAACTTAGCCTTTCTGACAGGTGTGAGGTGGTGTCTCATCGTGGTTTGGATTTGCAGTTCCCCGAAGATCAGCGAGGTTGAGCATGTTCTCATGTGTCTGTTGGCTGTCTGGGTGTCTTCTTCGGAGAAACGTCTGCTCAATTGTTCCGCCGATTTTTTAATTTGATTGCTTTTTGTCTTTTGGGATTCTTGTTTTGTTTTTGCTATCAAGCTGTAGGAGTTCACTGTATACTTTAGACATGAACTCCTTTTCAGATACATGACTTGCAGACATCATCCCCCCATTTGGCAGAGAGATGTCATTGTGCTGATGGCTTCCTTTTTTGTGCAGAAGCTTTTTTAGTTTGATATCATCCTACTTGTTTATTTTTGCTTCCGTTGCCTTTGCTTTTGGTCCATCTACAAAAACCCTCGCCCAGACCGCTATGTGAGAGGTATTGCCCACGTGTTCTTCTAGGGGTTCATGGCTTCAGGTCTGACATTCAAGTCTTTAATCCATTTCGAGTTAATTTTTGTGGACTGGTTGTTTTTCCAACGTTATTTTAAGGCTCAGGAATGTGTTGTTTTGTTTTTCTTCAAAGGAAGCCTTAGGTGGACCAAGAAACGACAAGGCAGATCGTTCTGATGGGGCTGTGAGCTGCCTGGTCCCCTCGTGCCATCATGCCCACGTGTCCTGAGGACACCACTTGACCCCTCCCTGGGCCTGTCTGCAGTGTGGGGTCTGTCCTTTGAAAACCATCACTGGTGTGCTGGCTTCTCCTCCCTTCTCATGGGTGGAGTCTCTGAGCAGAATGGCTGTAACTCTCATGAGACTGTCTAATTTGTGACCTCAGGAAAGAGACACTAAACCATCCTGCCTGCGGGCGCCGTGCAAGTGCTGGGGACACAGATGTGAGGAAAACCATTGTGTCGTGCTCACAGCACCAGCATCCTGTGGGGTGAGGGGATGTGCAAGGACAGCGATCAAATAACAGAGCTGCCAGTGGCGCCTGGAGGGCTCAGCCGGTTGAGTGTCCGACTTCAGCTCAGGCCATGATCTCACAGCTCAGGTCATGATCTCACGGTTCGTGGGTTCGAGCCCCGTGTCGGGCTCTGTGCTGACAGCTCAGAGCCTGGAGTCTGCAGCCTGCTTCGGATTCTGTGTCTCCCTCTCTCAAAAATAAATAAATGTTAAAACATTTTTAAAAAGTTAATGACTTTAATGTTATGAAGACAGGATCTGTGGCAGCACGCAGAACAAGGGGGGCACAGGGAGCAGGGAGGCCAGGGCAGTGGGAGTGGCCGAACCTGCTGTTTGCACCAGGCAGCTGAAAGCTGGCACCTTATTAGAGGTGCCATTTGCCTAGGTGCATAAGGGGGAGGAGCCAAGAGTATTCCAAGGGGAACACGAGTGCAAAGATCTTGAGGCAGAAACTTATATGGTGAGTGCAAGGGGCTGCAAGGAGGCCAGCACGGAACAGAGTGAGTGGGTTAGGAGGGGTGGGCAGAGGGGGTGCAAGGAGTCCGATTGTACAGGGCTCTGCAGGCCGTGGTAAGAAGCTGAGAAGAGACGCTGGAGCACGGGAGTAATGTGACTTGATTGGGTGTTTGAAAGGCTTGTGCCGGCTTCTCTGCTGAGAGTGGGTGACAGGAGTTTGAGCTGGGATCAGAGAGGCCAGTCAGGAGGCTCCCGTGGGAGTCCGGTAGGTTATGGCAGATCCAGAGTTTTCATGACCTGCTTTCCAACGTGCCTGCAGACCCCTGTCCATACCTTCTCAGTGTGCCACATCCGACTGCCCGTTCTCACTGCCTCTGTCCTGGCTGGGGGCACCCTGGTGACTCTTCTCATCACCGCAGCTCAGTCCTGCTGATGCAGCAGCCAGCAGAGGTCTCACAATGTAAGCCCAGGGTGTGATGACATAAAAAATGGCAGACTGGCCACTCCAACCCCCTGCTCCCCATCTCAAACACCGACTGAGCTGGAAAACACGATCAGAAATGATGTTTCCAAATTCCGATCTAATACAGAATTAGCCATCAGGGGTATTTTCTATGAAGAAAGAAGTTCCTGAATGTGAGGATGACGGTCCTGTGGCATTTCAACCTACCCACCCACAGCCCCGCAAGTCCCAGCTCCCTGGTGGCTTTGGGGGAGCTGGCCTGTGCTCCTTGGGTGACTTGCTGGTGCCAGAAGGGCCAGTACTGGCCTCGGTCCCCTAGATGTATGGCTGTGTGCCTGGAAGGTGCCCCCCAGAGGTCTTGCTCAGCACTTTGTTCTACTTTCCCAAGAACCTTCTTGGGGCTGCAGCAGGCTTGGGTGGCATTTGTCAGAAGCATTGAAAGGCAGATAGATCAGCTGTAGCTGCGTGCGGCAAGGGGTAACAGCAGCAAAGACAGCAAACAGACTGAAGGGTAGGACGAGGCTGGGGTAAGGTAAGAATAAGGGAATCAGGCTATGAACGCTCCCACATTTCCTGAAGGATCTAGGAGGCCACACATGTGCCCAGGGCTGGATGCTCAGGAAAGTCTGGGGAAGACCCTACACTTTTGTCTCTGACTGGTCTTTAAATTTTTAATGTTTTTTATTTATTTTTGAGAGAGACAGAGAGAGAGAGAGAAAAAGTGCACGCTCACGTGCGCATGAATTGGGGGACAAGCAGAGAGAGAAGGAGACACAGAATCTGAAGCAGTTTTCCAGGCTCTGAGCTGTCAGCACAGAGCCTGATGTGGGGCTTGAGCCCACAGACTGCAAGATCATGACCTGAGATGAAGTCAGACACTCAACTAACTGAGCCACCCAGTTGTCCCTATCTCTGACTGACCTTTAGGCTCTGCTCAAGCTGGAAGTGAAGACTAAGGCAGGATTGAAATGGCCTGGCCAAGCGTGGAGGGAGCGCCCAAACACAGAACCGATCTGCAAATCCCGGGAGACTATTTTATTATGTTGGCTTCAGGCATATGACCTCTCTGTTAAACCACTAGCTGAGCACTGAGCTAGCACAACTGGGACTTCAGGGACCACACATGACAAGGAGTAGTATTGCAGAAAAAGTTAGAAGACGCTAAACAACTACAACCTACAACAACAACAAAAAAAGCAGCAACAGCAAACCCTGGGAGGAGGGAGATTTTGATTTTCAGAGTTACCACATCATAATATTCAAGATGTCCAGTTATCAACAGAAAATTACAACACATATAAAGAAACAAGAAAGGATAGCTCACTCACAGGAAAAAATATATAGAAATTGTTCCCGAGGAAGCCCAGATGTTGGATTTACTATTAAAAGACCTTAACTGGGGCGCATGGATGGCTTAGTTGGTTAAGTGTCCGACATTGGCTCAGGTCATGATCTCATGGTTTGTGGGTTCGAGCCCCGCACTGGGCTCTGTGCTGACAGCTAGAGCTCTCTCTCTGTCTCCTTCTCTCTCTGCTCACGCTGTCTCTCTCTCTTTCTCAGAAATAAATAAAACATTACAAAAGGTTTTAAAAAGACTGTAACTCAATTATCTTAAATCTGCTCAAAGAGCTAAAGGAAAACCATGGAGAAAGAACTGGAGGAAACCAGGAAAATGGTGTCTAAATAAATAGGGAATATCAATATACAGAAAGAAAGTACGAAAATAAACCAAGTAGAAATTCTGAAGGTGAAAAGACAGTATCTAAAATGAAAAACTCGATAGAAAGAGTAGGAGAGGGGCAAGATGGCAGAGAAGTAGGGAGCTCCGTACTTGCACTCGCACCCATACCTCACACAGAAAAGATCTGAAGCCATAGGAAACCTTACGAAACCCAAGAGATTGGGAGAAAAAGGACGCAAAATCCACCGAGAAAGGCTTCTAACGTGAGTGCGAACTGGGGAAGATAAAATCAGGCAGGGATCGGAGACTCCAGGGACGGGGGTGATCCCCCTCTGTGGGGAGCGAGAGGTGAAAAAGAGAGAGCCCAAAACAGAAAAACCTCCGCTCGGGGAAAAACCTCCGTATAGAAAGACCGTGCTCGCCAAATACCTACGCGCCAGGTCCCCGGGTGCCAACTCGTCCCGGAGGGGCTGTGCGCGCGGACTGCTTCTTTGTGCTGGCTCCTGGCAGCTGGACTTCTAGAGTAGCGGCGTGCCTGCCGCCATTGTCCTTCTGGCTGGCTTGGACCCCTGGAGGAGCCTCGCACGGGCACCGGGCGTCCGTGCTCCTGGCTGGCTGGAACTCTAGAAGGAAGGCAAAGAGCTATAAACTGTGAGATTTGCACGTGAGTTCGTGTTTCTGGTGATGAGACGCAGAGGGACCTGGTTTCCCTCTCTCCAGCAGGCTCGGCGCACCCGGCAGGCAAACCCCCACCCATGCTCGCCAGCCCGACCCAGAGAAGGCAGCAGCAATTCTGGCTCCACCCCCAGAGCGAGGCAGGAGGCTTGGAATTGCCCTGAGAGGACCGACTGTGAAGTTGTGTCTATGGCAATTTCAGCGGGGCGCGTGGACTGGGATTTGGAGACTGGGACTGGCCTGGATTGAAGAGCGCAGGAGATCTTCAATGTGATGAACAGAAAAAATATGCAGCCAAAAATCCTCTATCCAGAAAGCCTGTCATTCAAAATAGAAGGAAAGATAAAAGTCTTTCCAAATAAACAGAAAATGAAAGAATTTGTCACCACTAAGTCGGCCCTACAGGAAATCCTGAGAGGGAGGCTCTGAAGGAAAGGTTGCAAGGAACAAAGATACCAGAGACACCACCACAAACATGAACCCCACAAAGGACACAAAGACTCTACACCCTCATAACACTGAATGTAAATGGGCTGTATGCTCCAATCAAAAGACATAGGGTAGCAGAATGGATAAAAAAACAAAATCCATCTATATGCTGTCTACAAGAAACTCATTTTAGACTGGAAGATACCTTCAGATTAAAAGTAAGGGGATGGAGAAATATATATCATGCTACTGGAAATCATAAGATAGTTTGAGTAGCTATACTTATATCAGACATACTTGACTTTTAATTTAAGACAATTACAAGAGATGAAGAAGGGCATTACATAATAATGAGTCTATCCATCAGGAAGAACTAACAATCATAAATGTCTATGCAGCGAATATGGAAGCACCTAAATATTTAACACAATTAATCACAAACAGAAACAAGCTTATAGATAAGAATGTGCTAATAGCATGGGACTTTAATACTCCACTTACAGCAATGGATAGGTCAACCAGATAGAAAATCACTAAAGAAATAATGGACTTGAAAGACACATTGGACCAGATGGATCTGACAGATATATTTAGAACTCTACATCCTGAGGCCAGGGAATTCACTTTCTTCTCAAGTGTGCATGGGACATTCTCCAAGATAGATCACATACTGGGACATAGAGCAGCCCTCAATAAATATAAAAGGATTGAGATCCTACCATGCACACTCTCAGATCATAATGCCTTGAAACTTGAAATCAATCACAGGAAGAAGTCTGGAAAACCTCCAAAAACATGGAGGTTAAAAAACACCCTACTAAAGAATGAATGGGCCCATCAGGCAATTAGAGAAGAAATTAAAAAATATATAGAAACAAATGAAAATGAAAATACAATAATTCAAAATCTATGGGATGTGGCAAAGGCAGTCCTAAGAGGAAAGTATATTGCACTCCAGGCCCATTTCAAGAAATTAGAAAAAGCGCAAGTCCAAAATCTAACAGCTCACCTAAAGGAACTAGAGGCAGAGCATCAAGATCGCCCTAAACCCAGTAGAAGAAGAGAAATAGTAAAAATTAGAGCAGAAATAAACAACATAGAGACCAAAGAAACAATTGAACAGATCAATGAAACTAAGAGTTGGTTTTTTGAAAAAATAAACAAAATTGACAAACCTGTAGCCAGGCTTCTCAAAAAGAAAAGAGAGAGCACCCAAATAGACAAAATCATGAAGAAAATAGATTTATTACAACCAACCCCTCAGAAATACAGGCAATTATCAGGGAATACTATGAAAAAGTATATGCCAACAAATAGAACAACTTGGAAGAAATGGATAAATTCCTAAATGTACACTCACTACCAAAACTCACACGGGAAGAAATAGGAA